GGATAGGATAGGGGAAGCTTCTGTGGGGCAAGGCTGAGGGAGAGAAGGGGATAGGATAGGGGAAGCTTCTGTGGGGCAAGGCTGAGGGAGAGAAGGATATAGGATAGGGGAGCTTCTGTGGGGCAAGGCTGAGGGAGAGAAGGGGGTAGGATAGGAGATGTTTCTGTGGGGCAAGGCTGAGGGAGAGAAGGGGATAGGATAGGGGAAGCTTCTGTAGGACAAGGCTGAGGGAGAGAAGGGGATAGGATAGGGGAAGCTTCTGTAGGACAAGGCTGAGGGAGAGAAGGGGATAGGATAGGGGAAGCTTCTGTGGGGCAAGGCTGAGGGAGAGAAGGGGATAGGATAGGAGACATTTCTATGGGTCAAGGCTGAGGGAGAGAAGGGGGTAGGATAGGAGATGATTCTGTGGGGCTGAGGGAGAGAAGGGGATAGGATAGGGGAAGCTTCTGTAGGGCAAGGCTGAGGGAGAGAAGGATATAGGATAGGAGACATTTCTATGGGTCAAGGCTGAGGGAGAGAAGGGGGTAGGATAGAAGATGTTTCTGTGGGGCTGAGGGAGAGAAGGGGATAGGATAGGGGAAGCTTCTGTGGGGCAAGGCTGAGGGAGAGAAGGATATAGGATAGGGGAAGCTTCTGTGGGGCAAGGCTGAGGGAGAGAAGGATATAGGATAGGGGAGCTTCTGTGGGGCAAGGCTGAGGGAGAGAAGGGGGTAGGATAGGAGATGTTTCTGTGGGGCAAGGCTGAGGGAGAGAAGGGGATAGGATAGGGGAAGCTTCTGTAGGACAAGGCTGAGGGAGAGAAGGGGATAGGATAGGGGAGCTTCTGTGGGGCAAGGCTGAGGGAGAGAAGGGGATAGGATAGGGGAGCTTCTGTGGGGCAAGGCTGAGGGAGAGAAGGGGATAGGATAGGGGAGCTTCTGTGGGGCAAGGCTGAGGGAGAGAAGGGGATAGGATAGGGGACCTTCTGTGGGGCAAGGCTGAGGGAGAGAAGGGGATAGGATAGGGAGCTTCTGTGGGGCAAGGCTGAGGGAGAGAAGGGGATAGGATAGGGGAGCTTCTGTGGGGCAAGGCTGAGGGAGAGAAGGGGATAGGATAGGGGAAGCTTCTGTGGGGCAAGGCTGAGGGAGAGAAGGGGATAGGAAAGGGGAGCTTCTGTGGGGCAAGGCTGAGGGAGAGAAGGGGATAGGATAGGGGAAGCTTCTGTGGGGCAAGGCTGAGGGAGAGAAGGGGATAGGATAGGGGAGCTTCTGTGGGGCAAGGCTGAGGGAGAGAGAGAGAGAAGGGGATAGGATAGGGGAAGCTTCTGTGGGGCAAGGCTGAGGGAGAGAAGGGGATAGGATAGGGGAAGCTTCTGTGGGGCAAGGCTGAGGGAGAGAAGGGGATAGGAAAGGGGAGCTTCTGTGGGGCAAGGCTGAGGGAGAGAAGGGGATAGGATAGGGGAAGCTTCTGTGGGGCAAGGCTGAGGGAGAGAAGGGGATAGGATAGGGGAGCTTCTGTGGGGCAAGGCTGAGGGAGAGAGAGAAGGGGATAGGATAGGGGAGCTTCTGTGGGGCAAGGCTGAGGGAGAGAAGGGGATAGGATAGGGGAAGCTTCTGTGGGGCAAGGCTGAGGGAGAGAAGGGGATAGGAAAGGGGAGCTTCTGTGGGGCAAGGCTGAGGGAGAGAAGGGGATAGGATAGGGGAAGCTTCTGTGGGGCAAGGCTGAGGGAGAGAAGGGGATAGGATAGGGGAGCTTCTGTGGGCAAGGCTGAGGGAGAGAGAGAGAAGGGGATAGGATAGGGGAAGCTTCTGTGGGGCAAGGCTGAGGGAGAGAAGGGGATAGGATAGGGGAAGCTTCTGTAGGGCAAGGCTGAGGGAGAGAAGGGGATAGGAAAGGGGAGCTTCTGTGGGGCAAGGCTGAGGGAGAGAAGGGGATAGGAAAGGGGAGCTTCTGTGGGGCAAGGCTGAGGAGAGAAGGGGAGAGGGATAGGATAGGGAAGCTTCTGTGGGGCAAGGCTGAGGGAGAGAAGGGGATAGGATAGGGGAGCTTCTGTGGGGCAAGGCTGAGGGAGAGAGAGAGAAGGGGATAGGATAGGGGAAGCTTCTGTGGGGCAAGGCTGAGGGAGAGAAGGGGATAGGATAGGGGAAGCTTCTGTGGGGCAAGGCTGAGGGAGAGAAGGGGATAGGATAGGGGAAGCTTCTGTAGGGCAAGGCTGAGGGAGAGAAGGGGGTAGAATAGGAGATGTTTCTATAGGTCAAGGCTGAGGGAGAGAAGGGGATAGGATAGGGGAAGCTTCTGTGGGGCAAGGCTGAGGGAGAGAAGGGGAGAGGCCGATTGTAACTACTCATTATGTTTCAAGCTAAAAATGTCAATTTATCAAGACAATCACATTGTTTCGTAGCGAAGCATGGGTATCCAGCTAGTTTACATAGAATTTTTAAAAGACTTTGTTTCAGTGGTGCACAACAAACTACTGTCAAAACTAAGTTCTTACGGCATGTCCGGATACCTGCACAAGTGGATAGCTGCGTTCCTGTCCATCAGGCAAGAAATAGTCAAAATAGGGAGGGCTCTATCAAATCCGGCATCAGTTAACAGGGGTGTCCCCCAAGGCAGGACAGGAAGGCTTGGAGAACAGAAAGGAAAGGAAGGCCTGGAGGAACATTGTCTATGGGGTTGCGATGGGTCGGACATGACTTTGCAACTAACAACCCCCAAGGCAGCATCTTAGGACCCACACTCATTCTGCTTTACATCAACAATCTGTGCAATCAAATTAAAAGCAGCTGTTTCCTCTTTGCTGATGACGTAAAATTATTTAATACCACTGACAATGCTGCCATACTGCAAAGCGACCTCAACTATGTGTCTGGTCGCATAATTGGCAACTCCAAATCTCGATGAATAAATGCTCTGTCCTACACATTGGCAAAAAAAAAATCAGAACACCAAATACAAGTTAGGCAGTACTGATCTTGCAGACGACCGTCACTTTGTCAAGGACCTAGGACTACTCATTTCTAACAATCTCAGACCCAGAGCTCACTGTAACAGCATTGCCAAAAAAACATTAACAGACGTTAACTTAATTTTGCGAAGCTTCTCTTCCGGTAACATTGTATTGTTAACTAGAGCAGTGGTCCCCAACCCCCGGTCCGCGGACCGGTGCCGGGCCGTGGAATACCTGGCACCGGGCCGCGCAGCGGCCGGGGACATGAACGCTGCAGCGCAAAGGCTCCTGGGCCGTGCACAAAAGCTCCTGGGCCGTGCACAATGGGCCGTACGCAAAAGCTCCTGGGCTGTGCCCCCACCCCTGCGTGCGCTCAGCGGGCCGCGGCGATAAAAAGGTTGGGGACCACTGAACTAGAGCATATAAAACCTTTGCCAGACCAATTATTGAATACCATTCACCTGCTTGGAATCCCTATTGTATATTGGACATTAACACAATCGAGCAGGTCCAGAAGTATTTCATAGGAAGAGTACTGCGCTCCTCTACTCACAATAGAATTCACTATGCCACCAGGCTAGAAATCCTGGGCCTGGACAATCTGGAACTGGAACGACTGTGGTGTGATCTAAGCACTGTACATAAAATTGGCTGCTATAATGTCTTACCTGATCAATGACTTCTTCAGCTTCAATCACAATAATACACGATACAATAATCGATACAAACTCAAGGTAAACTGCTTCAAACTTGACTGCAAAAAATATGATTCCAGCAACAGAGTGGTCAATGCCTGGAATGCCCTACCTGACTCCATTGTTACAGCCTCCAACCCTCACAGCTTCAGCCACAAACTGTCTACTGTGGACCTCACCCCATTCCTAAGAGGTCTGTAAAAGGAGTGTGCATAAGTACACCTGCGTGCCTACCATCCCTGTCTTGCTGCTCCCATTTTACCTGTATTTGCTTCCATTGTTCATGTTTATGTTTATACTTGTACTTGTTTCCTTGTTCATGTTTCACAAACACATTGAACAAACAAATAAATAAATAAATACAAGGTGAATTCAAAAGAATGTGGAGATGTTTTGTTGAAATGTCACAACTAATTTTAATTTCTTTGCAAACCTCCAAGCGTTTCAAACCGTTTATTCATGAAGTGGTTTAAACATTCCAGATTGGGCTAAATTGGGTTCATCCTTGGAATTTTGTACATTTTGTATCACAATACAAATAAGATGTTGAGACTAGTAAGGGTGCAGGGAAGAACAGGAAAGATAAGTAGGGGAGTGGAGGCTACAGCATAAGAGGAAAGGTTGCAGGAACTGATTATGTCTTGTTGAACGAAGAGAAGGAGCAGGAGTGACAGGATGGCAGACTTCCAAAATCTGAGAAGCTGTCACAAAGAAGAGGGGGACAACCTATGCTCCAAAGCACCTGAAGGCAGAACAAGAAGCAATGGCTGGAAAATACTCTAGTCTAGGGGCAGCCCAGAACTAAGGAGAATTTCCTGAGAGAACCATTAACCAGGGCAACGGCTTCCCTCCAAAAGTTGTGGGTGCTCCATCAGTGGAGGGTTTTCGGAAGAAGTCCCTTGTCTGGGATGGGGTAGTAGGATCACTTGCTAAGGCAGGGGGTTGGGCTAGATGACCTCAGAGCTCCCTCCCGACTCTTCTTCTGAAGGTTTGCTCATTCGGGGCGTGAAAGTTATACAAACCGACCAGTTACCCACAGTCAGCAAACCACCATGAAAGCAAAGCTTATGGGACGGTGTTTCCTGACGCCCCGAAGGGCACAAAAGGGGGAAATTGTCGCCTCTCCCGCGTCCAAGTCCCCCCCCTCCCCAAACAATCCTGGAAGAAGCCTCTCTGGACTCCGGCCGGCTGGGAAAGAAGCGGCTCCTCCTGCTCCCTCCGAGGGGGAAGCGGCGCTTGCCAGACCCCAAAACAGTACCAACTCCCAGCGGAAGAGAGGAAGGATGGGCTAGAGCGTCCTCTCACCTCCCGGAGAGGAAACGGAGCCGGAAAAGGCGGGGAGAAGCCTCTGGGGCCTCTCTAGGAATCTCCTGTAGATCTCCTCCCTCTCTGTGGTTTCCCCACTTGCGGCTGGGCGAATTCTTGGCTGTCCGGCAAGGCTGCTCCTCGGCCCCGCTCCGGGCAGGTGGGGCTCCCGCTCTCCCTGGGGCTGCCCGGAGGAAGGTCGCCCCGCTGAGTGCCCGCTGAGCCAGGGGTGCCAGGAGGGTCCCGGGTGGAGGCGGGGCTGGACGGGGAGCCTCTGGGCAAAGGGGGGGGGAGAGGAAGCCCCGCCCCACGGAGGGCAAAGGGAGGGGCTTCTCTTTCCAGGGTCTCAGGGGGGATTATGGGGTCAGTGCAGGAAACAGCCGCCTCCTCCCTTCAATCGGGGGTGGAGGGTTTTCTTTATTGGGGGGAAAAGGGTTAAATGGCTTGAATTGAGCTCATTTCCTCCCAAGGGAGAAAAGATCCACTTTCTTTCCCTGTCACCTAAATGGAGAAGAATTGATGTTCTTTGCTTTTATTTCAGTATTTCAATTCTTTACTTTTCTTTCTGCAAAGCTGAGTAGGAAAAAAATCCATTATTTGCCTAGTTTTGCTCTGAAGGAGGCTGTGATGTGGCAGCCCCTGGTTGGTGGGTTTTGTCCCTCAGAATAGGGCAGGAAGGGACCAGTTCCGAAGCCTTGGCTAATGGAAGCCTCGGGAGTTATCTAAGGCACGTTTTTATTGGCTGCAGGCCATCTCTACTCCTGTCTTTGAGCTGAGGTCTGCAAGTTGCCTAACTCCTTGTTACTTTTCTCAGCCTTCTAACCACCCAGAATTGTTACAAGCTTTACAACTGCATATTGCCAGACAAACTGCCCAATTACTGGCTTCCTGATTTACTTTCAAGTGTGCGCATGACCTTGCTTTATTGTAGAAAACAGCCCATCACCCCAGCCATGCATACCCAGCTTTTGTGGCTCTTGGTGTTTTCTGTAGGGAATGGGTATCTCTGCCTGTCTGTCTCTCTCCCTCTCTTTCTCTCTGCCTCTTTCTTTCTCTGTCTCATCTGTCTATCTGTCTGTCTGTCTATCCATCCATCCATCTCTCCATGCTCTCCTGCCCAGCTTCACATATTGTGTGAATCCAGCCACTTGGGCCGTGGCAGGTAAAGCCAAGCATTGAAGATCCATGCAAAATAAGGCAACTCCAACCTGGATCCTGTTGGGGAAATAATCCCCTTTCCTTTCCCTCTCTCCCTGCATGGTGGGGGCCCTGGTGGCCTGAGGGCAGCTCCCTCCTTGGAGGCAGCCAGCAAGCCAACAAACGTGGCTCTCCATCTGGAAGGCACCAACACAGAGCCCCACCTCCAGCTGGTGAGAGCAGAGCAGGCAGCGATGGCTGTGAGGAACGCAAGAACCGAACATTTGGAGCCGCCCTCAGCGGAGTTTGCAAGCGGGCTCAGCGGGGCTCCTTAGCAAGGAGGGGTACCCTGGCCCATTTGTGCCTCTCAGCGTTCACCCTCAAAGACTCCTGTGGGGGGACTGGGAGGGGAAGGTAAGGGGTGGGGCCGGCCAGCGGTGGGAACCCTCAACAGGGAGCCACAGCGGAGGGACGAAAGAGCCAGAGCCAGGGGTTGTCGACAACTGTCCTATACCATTTCAGACGGGTTGCTGTCCATTCTTTTCTTTAAAGCCTCCAGTGTTGGAGCAGCCACAACTTCGGAAGGCCAGTTGTTACACTGATTAATTGTCCTCACTCTTAGGAAGTTTCTCCTTAGTTCCAGGTTGCTTCTCTCCTTGATTTCTTTCCATGGATTGTTTCTTGTCAGGTGCTTTGGAGAATAGGTTGACCTCCTCTTCTTTTTTGGCAGCCTCTCAAATACTGGAATAGCAATCATGTCACCCCCAATCCTTCTTTTCTCTACCTTAGACTAACCGTTTTTGTCAAAGAACGGAATAAGATTACTTTGGCATTATCTCTTTTTAACAAACCATAATGGCTTTTAATTATAACTTTGTTTCTAGATGTTAGCAGATCTGTGTTTTTATTATCTTTTCCAGGATCTTCCCAGATATTGAGTTTGGGCTGATTGGTTTGTAGTTTCCATGGTCTCTTTTTTTTTTCTTCCTTTCTTGAAAATGGGAACCACATCCGCTCTTTTCAGATTCATTGTTGTATCTTTGGTCTCCATGTGCAGGAGAAGAATTTCTGCTGCATCTTTGATTTTTGCTTCAGGGAGATAACATACCTGCCTAGATTGACTATCTGCTCTGTTTTGCCTCTTTTTTAGAAACTATTGAAGGCTGCTCTTTTGTGGGTGACTGCATATTCCCTTCTAGGGGGAGAACATGACAGTGATTGTTCAGTTCCAGAGGGGCTTCATTGGAGTGGAGGAGGAGCCATTGCTCTCAGTTGTTGTTTTCTTCTAAAAGTGACACGCTTCCATCGGTCTTCCTCTTTAGGTTCATATATAGGGTCAATTTTTTTAAATGGAACCTGTTTCTTCCCTATTGTGTTCAAACAGCATTGGTGGCCCCAATCAATGTATTTGCATCCTCCCTAAACTATAAAGCAACAGGAGACTATTCTAGGAGGGAGACATATTCAATCTGTGCTGGCCCAAAGAACAGTGTCCATGAATACCTACATGGGTTGTACTCTGTACACAAGTAGATCTACCTGGCACATATAAATCCTATGGGGGCTCTTTCCAGTTTGTCACACGTTATGTAGCATCACCGTCCCGAACACAGGGCAAAAAGGAAAAGGCAGGGATCATCCCCAGTTCAGGCAGACAAATGGGGGGCAACAGGGAGTCTGTCAGCCATCATGCTAAGAAAAGGGAATGGGAGGCCAGCTCCACAGGGGGGATCCCAGCATTGCTTTGATTCTGGGGGAGGGAATATAATCTTCCAGCTATTATTTCGGCTATTTGGAGAGCCGAAGAAACTAAATCTTCCTCTCTCCTTCTCTTCTTTTATCTTCATCCTGCAGGTGCCACCAAGAAACCCTTTGGACAAAGTTCTGCTTGCAGGACCCAATCTGGGTCACTCACCGGGACCAGAGGTTTCACCTTCTCAGTTTTTGGATTCATGCTGGAGCCCATCCTCCTGCCCATCTTCCAGCCTTTTGGCCAAAGTTCTGCTTGTTCGAGTTTCCCATGATGGAAAGCCCTGGAAGTGAGCAGCCCCTGGAGACTATGCAGAGGGGGGAACACTTTGACCAAAGGTCCCCTCAGAGGAATCAGGGGAAACTCTCCAGATGCTCCGAGTGTGGGAAATCCTTTGCTCACCGGTCCCTCCTTTTGATCCACCGGACGCTGCATAAGGGGAATGGATCCCACCTGTGTTTCCTTTGTGGGAACTCCTTTCCTGGACTGTGGAGCTTCGCCAAACATCTCCGGAGCCACCCTGGACTGAAGCCTTACAAATGTGGAGAGTGCGGGGAGCGTTTTGCTAAAGGCTCAGACCTTGGAGCCCACCAGAGAATCCATCAGGGAAAGAGATCTCAGGAATCCTGGAAGCGCTGGGGAACATTTCCTGAGAGACGGCGTCTTTCTAGGCCTCAGAACAGCCTGCGTGAAGAGAAGCCCTGCAAGTGTGTGCAATGTGGGCTGTGCTTTCCTCAAAACTCAGAGCTGCTTAAACATCAGCAAATCCACACCAGAGGGAAACCCTATCAATGTCTGGAGTGTTTTTCCAGCAAATCATGCCTGCTGAAACATCAGAGAATTCACAGTGGGGAAAGACCACATGAGTGTCCAGAATGTGGGAGATCTTTTGGCTACAAGTCAAGCCTAATTCGACATCAGAGACTTCACACTGGGGACAGATCCTATCAATGCCCAGAATGTGAGAAAAGATTTGTGAATTCTTCTGAACTTCGGAGACACCAAAGGACACACAAGGGAAAAAAACGACATAAATGTAAGTCACCCCTAATTCGACATCAGGGAATTCACACTGGGGAAGGACTCTATCAGTGCCCAGAATGTGGGAGATCTTTTGGCTACAAGTCAAGCCTAATTCGACATCAGAAAATTCACAGTGGAGAAAGACCCTATCAATGCCCAGAATGTGAGAAAAGATTTGTGCTTTCTTTTGAACTTCGGAGACACCAAAGGACTCACACAGAAAGACTATATAAATGTAAGGATTGTGATAAATGTTTTTCTTTTAAGGAAGCTCTTTTTCGACATCAGAGTATCCATACAGGGGTGAAGCCCTATATGTGCATCGAGTGTGGAACATTTTTCCGTATAAAAGAAAGCCTCAGGAAACATGAGAATGTTCACAGAGGGGAAAAAAAGTTCAAATGTTTAGAATGTGGGAAAGCATTTACTCATTCATCATCCCTTAGAATTCACTGGCAAACTCATACGGGTGAGAAACTCCACAAATGCTCAGTGTGTGAGAAATCTTTTAGCCGGAAAGGTACACTTGTGATTCATCAGAGGATCCACTTAGAGAAGCAATATAAATGTCCGGAGTGTGAGAAAACTTTCCGTTGCAAATATTCTCTTAGAAAACATGAGATGATTCACAAAGGAGAGAAGCCTTTCAAGCCTGTGCAGAAAAATGAAATGTGCCCAGAATGTGGGAGATGTTTTGGCAGAAAGGCACACCTAATTCGACATCAGAGTCTTCACACCGAGAGAAAGACCCTATCAATGCCCAGAATGTGGGAGATGTTTTGTCTATAAGCAACAACTAATTCGACATCAGAAACTTCACACTGGAGAAAGACCCTATCAGTGCCCAGAATGTGAGAAAACATTTGTGGAGTCTGCTGAACTTCGGAGACATCAGAAGGGGCACACAGGAGAGAGGCCCTATAAATGTGGGGAATGTGGAAAAAGTTTTCTCACAGCAACACTGCTTCGAGTTCATCAGAGAATCCACACAGGGGAGAAGCCATACCTGTGTGTGGAGTGTGGGAAAGGTTTTTCCCAAAAACAACAACTTGCAAGGCATGAAAAGGTCCATACTCGAATGAAGCCATAGAGATGCATAGAGTGTGGAAATGTTTTGCTCAAAAGCAAGACATCAGAAAAATCACATTCGGTTTCCAAAATAGGAAAATGGAAGACAAAATAGAATTGATGAGGAAAAGTGATTTAGGAGAAATGATACAAAAATAAGACATTTGGATATTGTTACAAAAAATACAAATTCAATGTCAAAATAATTCTGAAAAGGGATGGAATCAAATTGAAAAGGATCTAGTAAAATGAAAAAAAATACAATTGTCATTGATTATAGAAGTTCCATAATTAAAAGTGAGTATATTACTGGACTGATGTTTCTGTTTTAAACAATACCTATCTGGACAAGGGGTGCACCAAATAATCAATGACAGGAAGATACATGAGAAAAACCAAGAGTTTAATTTGAAACTGTTCAAGACCAAGGAGAAAGAGGATGATTAGGATCGCTTTGGATGAAAGAGTGGGTGTTGCTGAAAAATAAGAGGATTTTAACACAGGAAGGGTATGGCTTTTTTTAATGGTTCAGCTTCGACAATAGAAACATAGGCAGTGCCCAAAAACGACTTTGTGGGTCTCGGCACAAGAAGCATTTGATGGAAAAGAAAGAGTAGACCACAATAAATGGATACAGTGTAATATCCTGATGTCTTACACTTTTTGTCTCATTTCTTTGAATTGCTTTTCCCCATCAATTTGTCAATACAGGTAGTCGACTCAAAAAACAGTTCATTTAGTGACCTTTCGAAGTTACAGTGGCACTGAAAATGTTACTTATGACCATTTCTCAGCAGCCCCATGGTCACGTGATCAAAATTCAGATCCGTGACCACTGATTCACATTTCTGACGGCTGCAGTGCTCCAGGGTCACCTGATCCCCTTTTGCGACCTTTTCACAACCAAAGCTAAGGGAGAAGTCAGATTCACTTAACAACTGTGTTACTAATTTAACATCTGCAGTGAACCACTGTGGCAAGAAAGGTTGTAAATTGTGGAAAACTCACTTAACAAGTATTTCACTTAACAACAGAAATTTTGGGCTCAATTGTGGTCATAAGAAGAGGCTTACCTATAGATGACAAACAGAGTTGTTAGAACAGGAACATGAAGAATACGACCGACCTCTGTCTAAATACTACAGTTTGTTTTTTGCTTTGTTATAGAGCAGTGATGGCTAACCTTTTTGCCATTGCGTGCCAAAAGCGGGGGGAGTGCAGGGGGGGGTCACAAGTGCGCGTGCCCACACCCATAATTCAATGCACCCCACCCCCCATGCATCCGTGAACAACCCTCCCACGCTTCTGGCACGCGATAGCATGGTGGGCCCGGCAGGCCTGTTTTTCACCCTCCCCAGGCTCCAGAGGCTTTCTAGGAGCCTGGGGAGGGCAAAAAAATAAAACCCCCCCGGAGGCCCTCTGGAGGCCGGAAATGGCCCATTTTCTGACTTCCTGAGAGACTGGAAGACTCATTTTTCACCATCCCCATGCTCCTGAGGCTTTTTAAGAGCCTGGGGAGGGCGAAAACAGCCTTCCCCACCCCCGGAGGCCCTCTGGGGGCTGGAAACGGCCTGTTTAGTGACTTCTGTTGGCCCAGAAGGCCTGAAAATCAGCTGGCCGGCGCACACATGCGCGCTGGAGCTAAACTAGGGCAACGCTCACGTGCCCACAGATATGGCTCCACATGCCACCTGTGGCACGCGTGCCATAGATTCGCCATCGCAGTTATAGAACCTATTACAATCTCAGTCATACAAATGTTAACTGCACTACTAACGGGGGCAGCTTCCTGCCCACGTTAGTACTCCCTTGTCTTTCTTGGTGGTCTTAATTTGCCTCTTATTAATCGGATCCTAAACGAATGTACAACTGAACCTGTACATGGAACCATTTACAATGCTGTTACGGCTCTGGGGCTGGAGCAGTTGGTAACGGACAACCCTAGGCTCAACAATTGCTTAGATCTCATCTTCTGTAATACTTTAATTCAATTTATGGCTTATAAATTAAAGAACCATATTCCAACAGCGATCACAGCATGATAGATTTTTGTCTCAATTTGTGTCCTTGCAAACAGGGGCATAATGACGATACTTCAAAGTATAACTTTAAAAAAGCCAACTATAATCTCATAGCTGCTGACCTCGCATCCCTTGACTGGCACCTTCTGTTCAGAGTTTGTAAAACTGCAGATGACTATTATAACACTTTTTTACTCTAAATCCATAGAGTCCTTAATCTGTACGTATCAAAAATGACCTCTAAAACTAAAAAGAGCAAATTACCCATACCAATAAGTAAGTTGCAATCCAAGAAAAAATCTCTTTGGTGAGAAGACAAAACTGGCTATGTACCTAACTTTAAAAGCCGCTACAAAGCCTTATGCCACCAGATAAAGGTTGAATGTACCAACCACTATTGCAGACAGAAGGAAGCAGTGCTAAACTTGGTCCACCCGAGCCGTCTATAATTTTGTTAACACAAAACTTAAAGACTCAAAAACGATCCCACCCTTAAAAAGGTCTAAAGGGGAAGGCTGTAACAATTATGCTGTTAAAGCCAACCTTTTCAATACGTTCTCCAGTTCAGTCTTTGTTGACAGCAATGACTGCTGTCCCTCACTTCCTAGTTGCACCGTAAAAAATTGTAGTGATTTACTCTATATTGATTTTACAGTAGATCATTTTGAAACAGAACTACAAAACCTAAAGCCATCTCTATCTACTGGCCCTGATGGACTATGTGCCTACTTTTTGAAAAAGCTTGCTACCACCCTAGCTGAGCCACTATGCACAATCTATGAGGTATCTTTTCAAACCAGCTCTCTGCGCAACCTATGGTCACTAGCCACAGTTATACCAATCTTTAAAAAGGGGGTCCCTAGTCTAGTCGAAAATTACAGAGCAATCTCCCTGTGTTGCCTCCCCTGTAAACTCATGGAATCAATTATAACCCAATCCCTCATCTGCCACCCAGAGACAAACAATCTGCTATCTGACAAGTAGTTTGGGTTTAGAAAAAAATTGTCCTGCAATCTGCAACTCCTACACTGTAAAAGCATCTGGACCACATATATTGATCAGGGTAAAGCAGTAGATGCAATTTCATAGATTTTTGTAAAGCCTTTGATTCAGTAGTGTGTGACAAACTACTGTTAAAAGTAAGTTCTTACAGCATCTCCGGATCCCTGCACAAGTGGATAGCCGTGTTCCTGTCCAACAGGCAACAAACAGCCAAAATAGGGAGGGCTCTTTCTGCTTTACATCAACGATCTATGCAATGAGAGCACCTGCCATCTGGAACGAGCTCCCCCGGGAGATACGGAGGATCCCAGATTTCCGCACTTTCCGCCGCGCCCTCAAAACATTCTTATTCCAGCAGAATGGTCTGGCCTAACCTCCCTTTTAATTGCTTTTAAATTTGTTTTAAATTGGGGTGTTTTAAATTGGGCCAAAGTATTTAATGTATTTTAAATGGTTTTTAACGTTTTGTATTATGTGTATTTTACCTTTTTGGCTGTTCACCGCCCTGAGTCCTTTGGGAGTAGGGTGGTATATAAATTTAATTATAAATAAATAATTAAATTAAATTAAATTAAATTAAATGCAGCTGCGTCCACTTCACAAAAAAATATTTTAATACCACTGACAATGCTGCCATACTATAAAGCAACCTCAACTATGTCTTAATGGTCGCATAATTGGCAACTCCAAATCTCGATTTATAAATGCTCTGTCCTACACATTGGCAAAAAAAAAAAAATCAGAATCCGAATTACAAGTTAGGGGTACTGATCTCACAGACGACTCTCACTTTGTCAAGGACCTAGGAGTACTCATCTCCAGACCTCACTATAAAAGCATTGCCAAAAAGCATTAAGACTCGTTAACTTAATTTTGCGAAGCTTCTCTTCTGGTAATACTGTATTGTTAACTAGAGAGTATAAAACCTTTGCCAAGACCAATTCTTGAATACTGTTCACCTGCTTGGAATCCCTATTGTATGTAGAGCAGGTCCAGGAGTATTTCATAGGAAGAGTACTGCGCTCCTCTGCTCACAATAGAAAGAACGTTGTCTTACCTGAACGTTCCTTTTCAGGGCACTGCGAATGCAATCCATCAACGGGTTGTTTTCCTCATCGCTTATCTTTGACTGGGTAACTTTTCAAATATCTCTCTCCGTGCTGTGGCCACGCCCTGCTTTCCCATGATGCATCAGTCTTTGAACGAAGGCGCGACCACCTATGTAGGAAATCAGAACAAGGTAAGTAGCAAAAGAACCACGAAACGAACCAGTGGAAACACTAGAACAAAGCAACAAACAGGGTGGGAATGGATTGCATTCGCAGTGCCCTGAAAAGGAACGTTCAGGTAAGACAACGTTCTTTTTCCAGTGCACTGCTCATGCAATCCATCAACGGGATATACCAAAGTTCAGATCCCAAGGGTGGGAGACAAATTGCTCCCAGAGTCCTGGATTACAAGGACACTTTGCAGAACTCGGCGGCCAAAAGAAGCCTCAGCAGAAGCAAATGTATCAATCTTATAGTGTCTAATGAATGGTGTTACAGACGACCACGTGGCGGCTCAGCAGATGTCCGAGACCGATGCTTGCGTAGCCCAGGCGGCTGACATTGCCGCGCTACGCGTAGAGTGAGACAAAATGCGAGCAGGAACAGGGCGTGACTGTTGTTCGTAAGCCGTGGAGATACACGCCTTAATCCATCTGCCCACAGTGGATGGAGATATCTTTTGACCCAAAGAAGATGGATGAAATGAAACCAAAAGGGCCTCAGACTTCCGGAATGATTCAGTCCTACGAATGTAACGACGTAAGGCCCTACGAACGTCGAGGGTATGCCAGTCCTTCTCACGTTGGTGCCTGGGCGATGGGCAGAAGTCCGGAAGTACGAGCTCCTGGGCACGATGGAAATAGGAGTTTACTTTAGGTAAGAAAGTAGGATCCAGACATAAAATCACGGTATTAGGTTGGAATATGCAGAGATCCTTTCTAATTGATAAAGCCGTAAGTTCAGAGACTCGTCTCGCCGAGGTGATCGCCAAAAGAAAAGCCATCTTGTAGGATAAATACTTGAGAGGTGCAGAACCCAGGGGCTCAAAGGGAGGAGACATAAGAGCCTGAAGAACAAGAGAAAGGTCCCAGGTCGGGTAACGATGAACAGGGGGTGGGTGGAGGTTCACAGCCCTGTGGAGAAAACCTTTAAGCAACGTGTGCAGAGATAGAGAAGAGTAAGGAGGACACCTGATGACCGTGGACAAAGCAGCAGTCTGATGACGAAGGGTGGATGGCGACAAGCCCTTGTCCAGACCTGATTGCAGGAAACACAAAACATCCACAATCTGAGCCGAGGTAGGATCAACTAAGTTGACAGCACACCAAGAACAAAAGGACTTCCAGGAAGACCCGTATATCCGAGAAGTCGAAGGTCTTCGGGAGGCCTGAATAGTATTTATGACAGAGTCTGGGATACAGTCCTTTCGCAGAATGACCCACTCAAACGCCAGACGGCCAATTTGAGCCATCCTGGGTCTGGATGGTTGATGGCCCCCTGACGAAGCGAGAGACGTTCCGGCGGAATCACCCACGGTGGAAGGACCGACAATGCCACAAGGTCTGCGTACCACGGTCGACGTGGCCAATTGGGGGCCACCAAGAGAAGTTCTGCCCTTTTCTCCAGCAGCTTGCGGATCACCTGAGGAACCAGGAGAATCGGGGGAAAGGCGTATAAGAGCCCTGGCGGCCAATGGCACCATAGGGCGTTGTGATCCTCTGCCGTCTGACACGGGTAACGAGTTACAAATCGCGGCAGTTGGGCGTTCAACGGGCTGGCGAACAGGTCCACGATGGGCATGCCGAAGATGAAAGAAGCCTTGCGAAAAAGACCGGGGTGTAGTTGCCATTCTGATTGGTCGATACTTTGTTTGCTGAGCCAATCGGCCCTGACGTTTTCTACACCTGAAATGTGATTGGCCCTCAACGATAGAACATGCGTCTCCACCCAACGTAGAAGCTGTTCGGATTCCAATATCAGGGGTCTCGACCGAGTGCCCCCCTCCTTGTTTATATGGGCCTTGGCTGCAATATTGTCCGTTAGGACAAGGATGTGATGACCTGACAACTGTGTCTGAAAATGATGGAGAGCTAGCCGAATGGCCCTCAGTTCCAACAGGTTGATGTTGAGTCATCTTTCGGAACCTGACCAGCGACCCTGCACTACTTGATCGTGTAGGTGGGCACCCCAGCCCAGGAGGCTGGCGTCCGAGGTCAGGGTCAAGCGGTCCGGAATCAAGAAGTGCAAGCCTTTGTGAAGGGCCGGACCTAATCACCAGCGGAGGGATAGACGAAGTTGAGGTGGAAGCGACACCTTGCGAAGAGAATCACTGTGGCCCGATCATTGGAAGGGAAGTAGAAACCATTGTAATGGCCTCGTGTGACGATGAGCCCATGGCACAATTGAGAAACTCGAGACCATTTTCCCCAGCAGCTGTGAGAGATGAAGGAGAGGAATGGACCGTTGTGATAGAATTTGATGGATCAAGTCGCAGATGCTCTGGATTCTGTCCGGGGAAAGAAAGACCTGTCCTTGTATAGTGTCTATCACCGCCCCCAGGTGTAGCAGGGAGGTTGAAGGATAAAGGTGACTCTTTGGGAAATTTATTGAAAATCCATGGTTCTGAAAGACCTCGATGACAAGTTGTAGATCTCGAGACGCTTGACCTCTGGAAGATGACAGAACCAGGATGTCGTCAAGATAACATAAGACCCTGACAGGGATCTTTCTGAGGGAGGCCGCCACTACCGCCACTAGCTTTGTAAAAGTCCTTGGGGCTGAGGACAAGCCAAAGGACATGGCGCAATACTGATAATGGTACTCCCCAAACTGGAACCACAAGAATTTTCAGTGTGCCGGCAGAACCGGAACATGCAGGTATGCCTCCCTGAGGTCGACCGACTGGAGGAAGTCCCCGCGACGAATTCCTCCAAGAATGGACCTCAGTGAGTGCATTTTG